GAACACCACCGTCTTTTCTTCCCCTCTGATTTATTAGACCATATAAAACTAGCCATAGCAGAATTTAATCTGGCTTTGATTCCTTTCGGTAATTAAGACATGCAAAAATGTGGATTGGGATAGCATTAAAGAAAGATTTGACCAGAACCACTCTTCCCATATTTGAAAGCTGCTTAGCATACCATTCATCCATTCTCAATCTAAACTTTTGGACCACCTCCTCAAAGTACATCTTATTTTTCCTCCCTTTAATAATAGGACACCCCAAATAAGTAAAGGTCAGTTCTTAATAGGGATATTAGCTGCACTAGACAGAACATTCTTTCTTGCCTAGGAAATCTTTAATGAACAACACATGGATTTTTTTGTTTGCTGACTTTCTAACCAAAGGATTGTTCATAGGTATTGATAAAGGAAAGCAAGTTATCCAAAGATCTTTCATTCCCTTCAAAAAAACAAGTTGTCATCTACAAAAAGCAAATGACTCAGAATTGTTGTTCCTCTACCTGTATGAAACCTTTTCACCAACCCTTCTTGATAGATTCTTTGCAAACCTCTACTTAAAACCTCCTGAGCAATAATAAAAAGACTTGGGGAAATTTGGTCCCCTTGTCTTAAATCGCTTGATGCTGGAAAGGAACCAACTCTTTGACCATTAATGATCAAGGAGAGATTCTGATTATTCAGACAGCTAGAGATGATCTTAATAAAACCATCTGAAAAACCAAAACAACAAGGGTGTGCTTTAGGAAATCCCATTCTAACCTATCATAAGCTTTCATCATATCCAATTTTACCACCATATTCCCAGCCTTCACTTTTCTATCCAACTCATTCACCATGAACTGAGCCAATGAGATATAGTCACCCATACTCCTACCCTAACAAAATCATGTTGCTCCTCTAATGTCAACCTAGGTAGTAAAGGACTCGGCCAAGAGGCCAACAAATTTGTAAAAATTTTGTACAAAAAATTACAAAGACTAATTGGCCTAAATTCTGAAAAATAAGGTAGGATTTGCTTTTTAGGGATAAGAGACAATAAGGTAGCATTGACTGACTGATAGAAATCGGATTATATTACGTTATAGTAGGCGTAGACGTAGCGATTAGGAGTTATTTGTCATTTTGCTTTTTAGGGGCGTAGTTATCATTATGACTATTTATTTCTTTTTAGAGTTTTTTTAGGATTTGTGTTCCCCCAATATATATAGCAGTAAGATATTTGTTTTGGGAGACTTTGATTATTATTGATTATTGATATTGAATCCTTCTTCCTCAAATTCTCTCTGTTCTCATCCCCTTCTTCTTCTCTTCTCATCCCTAATTCTTTCTTAATACGATTTACATTAATTTGGTATCAGAGCCCAACTTTGATTCAAAAAAAAAAAAAAATAATGTTCATCGTAGTACTATTCATTGGCACTATCCAATTAAAAAAAAAATTCTTTGCCAGATCTGAATTGTTCATCGTTTTCATTCCCAAAAAAAAAAAAAAAATTGTTCATCGCGCACTGTTCTGGTCTCATTCCAACAAACAAAAAAATCATATTCGAAATTGTTCCCCATAGCACTCTTTGTATTCGACTTCATCATTGCCAATTGTGTTTTCATCGTCGATCCGTTGTCGTTGGTGCCACCATCATCGTCGTTGTCCTTCTCTTCTTGCGACATTGCTGAGCTTGGCCCTTAGGGTTTTAGCCTATAGGCGCACTAAAAAATGAGAAAACTGACCACTGCTCATTGTCAGCCACCATCCATCGCGAGTCTGGATATACTGCCAGAATTTTCTCTGTTCATCGCTGTCGCTATTGGAATTTTCTTTGGGTAGCTAGGGCTTTGTTTAGGTGAAAAAGATATATTGCCAAAATTTTAAAATTGCAAAATCAACCCCCATAAGTTCCAAAATCATAGAAACATCCTCAGAAGATCCAGAGAATTACAAAATCACCCCAAAAATTCTAGTAAATTGCAAAAATATCATCCAAAAATTTCAGTATTGCAAAAACATCCCAACAGATTCAAAAAATTACAAAAACATCACCCCAAAAGTTCCAGAAATTACAGAAACACGCCAGAAAGTTTCAGAATTTGTAGAATCATCTTTTCAATTGTCAAGTATCCTCTTGGAAGTGCATCTAACACCAAATGTTCCTACAGGTGGAGTTGCTTCATCATCAGCATCACCTACAGTTCCTATTCTTCCACCGTTTCCACCACAGCTGCATGATCAAATTGCAGATGTACTTGACAATCAGATTGTGAACTCCACGGCTGGAGGATATCGTCATTATCTTGTTCGGTGGAGAGATCGTCCAGAGGCTGATAATTCATGGATTACTGAGGAGGAGTTTCGTCAGCTTGACCCTAATCTTCTAGAACATTATCATGATCGTATCTCTTCAGAGACGAGCTCTTTTCAGCCAGGAGAAAATGATAGGAATCGGATTATATTTCGTTATAGTAGGCATAAACGTAGGGAATAAGAGTTATTTGTCATTTTATTTTTCAAGGACTTAGTTGTCATTATGAGTATTTATTTCTTTTAGAGTTCTTTTAAGATTTGTATTTATGATATTTGTTTTGGGAGACTTTGATTATTATTGATTATTGATTATTGATATTGAATCTTTCTTCCTCAAATTCTCTCTGTTCTCATCTCCTTTTTTTCTCATCTCCTTCTTCCTTTCTCATCCCTAATTCTTTCTTAATACGATCTACATCACCGACCTTGAGATTAAACCACCTTCCAAAAAATAAATTGCAGCTTGAGAATATCTTGTTTTATAATACTCGCAGCATTTGTGAAAAAACTTCCCCAAAAACCCATCAACTCCAAGAGCACTCTCTACTAACATGGAGAAAACAACTGTTTGCAATTTCTCCAAAGTAGCAGGAGTAGTTAACTTATCATTATTTGCCTGAGTAACCTACTTAGGAATGATAGCAAATAAGTCCTTCAATGAGTGATCCTCTAAGTTGTATAACTAAGAAATTGAACCGCATTATCAATAATATCCCCTACCTCCTCCAACCACTGTCCCTCCAAAAATTTAATCCAAGCAATTTTATTTCTCTCTGCCTTACTTTTAGCCACAAAATGATAAAACTTTGTATTCCTTTCACCCTCCATTGACCATTTCATATTATCTTTCTATTTTCAAAAGATTTCTTCCGTCCACTTTGAGCTCTAATGCATCTTGCTCCACTTCCAATTCAGCTTTCAGTAGTTGGTACTCCTGCTTTTTAATCTGCTCAAAAATGTTTCCAAACACCTCCTTGTTCCATAGCTTTAGATGGGTTTTCAAATATTTCAACTTTAGAAATACATTCTCTATAGGATTCCCAAAATAATTTCCTGCACAATCAGCAAATACCGATTGTTTAAAAGTAGGATGCTCCACCCACATCCTAAAAATTTAAAGTAAGAATATTTTGCATGTGCAAACCCTTCCACTACTTTGATTAACAAAGGGCAATGGTCTGATCTATTCCTAGCCAATGCTCCACCTCAGTGGTATTGAACTCCAAAGCAGCTCCCCCACCCCCCTTTCTTTTTCTTTCATCTTATGAAGAAATCACATTAAAATCACCAACCACCATCCAAGGGAGTGTTCTTGCTTGCAAATTCCTTTGATGCTCCCAAAGAGGCCTTCCGAGTATATAGTCACACTGAGCATAAACTATAGAAATGAGAACAGGCCTAGACCCCATACAAGAAACTTCTACAGTCATCACTTGTTCATAAACATCCATAAGTCTCACTTCCATTCTGTTATTCCATAGCAACCACATATACTTATCAGGCACAGTATTAGCCACATAAGAATTCAAATTAAGATTACTTGCAAATCCTGGTAGCTTAGTCATAATCTGTTTTGGTTCAAGGATAGATATAATACTTACATCCTTCGTCCTAATTAGGTTTTTCAGACGTGTTCGAGTGACCTCTTTTCGTGCCCCTCTTACATTCCATGATATAAAACTAAGGGTTAATCGAAAACTTCACCCTGAAAGATTGTTTGAATTTCAATTTGTACTCTCAAAGATCAAAAATTTCAATTTGCACCCTCAAAGATAGAAATTTGTATCAATGCGCACGTGAAGCTAACTGTCATCAATTTGTCGTCTAAAACTAAAATAGTAAATTACACCTAGACCCCCTCATGCTCGTCACTTAATCACTTAGACCCCTCACATTTGAAATATTACACCTACATCCCTTAAGAATCCAAATATGACTAAAAAGGTTCCCCCAATTGGGCATCCAAATAATTCTGTTCAAGTGATGTATTACATTGGACATAAAAAATATTATATAAATACATGCATTATATTGGATATTCAAATGGTAAGTTTGATTTTGAATTTTAGAGTATAATGGGCCTACAAAATAAAAGGTAGTATAAAAATTTTAGTTTTTTATTAGAATAAAATCTATTTTTTAATAGTTGTATTAACAGATATAAACAAGAAGGGGGTCCAAATGATTAAGCAACAAACTTGAGAGGGTATAGGTGTAACTTGCCCCATTAGTTTTAAATGGCAAGTTGACGGTTGTCAGTTTCAGGTGCACATTGATATAAATTTATATCTTTAAGGGTGCAAATTGAGAATTTTGATCTTGAAAGTGCAAATTGAGATTCGAATGATCTTTAGAGGTGCAATTTATAATTAACCCTAAAACTAATCATTTTATGGTAAGGAAGATAACAAGACCAATTCCCTAGATTTAGGTCTAGTTACTATATACCATGAACAGTATACTTAATATCTAGATCCACAGAATTCCTGCATTCCTTCTGGCTCTTTTGAATCCATTTCTACAAACTCAACTTCACTATCCATATGAACACCTATATCTGGTGGTTCTTTACTATATACCAGTAGTCTATCATAATCAAAAACCTCTCCATAACCTTCCCTTGCACCAAAATTGTGATCAATAAGAAAAGAGGAATGTGAAGAGGAATAAACTATTTGTTCAACATACCTGGTCCTTATTCATGAGACTCTTCCTTTCTCTTCTCCAGATTCGCATGTTCATTAAATTCATCTGTCTTCTTAGCTATAGTTACTACCTCAATGCTTCCCACTCTTGGAACTGCAACTACTGGAATTCCAGCCATATGCTCAATTTGGTTTTTTCTTTGTCCTTCACATATCAAAACACTAGGGCTCTTATTGCCTTGCTTTTCCTTCACACCATTTGACGGTTCTGAACCTAGATTATCATTCTGATTGTTGGATGCGTCCTTTCCAAAGTGGTCTCCTTTACAAAAAATTTACACCCGAGCCAAGGAGCTCTCTCTATTCCCTCTCTGGATTGGATCTTGAGTGTCACACTGTCCTTTGATCTTAATGCCACATATTTTCTGTTTGAACTATTTCCATTGATTTTTCTTCTGCTGCTCCTGTACAACTTTCTTTCATTTGCCATCTTGTTTGGAACCATCATGGACTCCACTGACCTCAAGGTTCTCCGTATGTAATCCATCTTTGTGACTATCACCTTCAATCCTTTTTCTTCTATACTCCCCAGACACATGTCCTTGCTTCGAACAAACTCATCAATACTTGAAGTCCTTCTCGTAAACTATTTTCTGCCACTGGAACCACCCATATCCAACCAAATTCTTTTTATATTATTGGCTAGTAGATTAACTTCAACAGAGGCTCAGGAAACACCAAGCCTAGTAAGCTGCAAAGTTGGATTGTCAATAACCAATATCCTTCCAACAGGATTAAGAATGTCCCTCAAACTCTCCTTATTGAATAGATGAATGAGTAAACCAGGTAAGAAAATCCACATAGGAACTACTGGCGGTTCCACTCTAGGAATGAACTCTGGAAAACATTTAAAAAATCTAAACAAAGAACCTTTTATGTACTTAGCATCCTTAAGCCATGTTCTTACATAATCTTATACAAACTAAATCGAATAAGAACATGCCTTTGGGTCTAAAATCCCCACAGTAAATTCCCCTTTTAGCGACCATTGAGTACTAATAAATACCTTAATCACACCCAATAATGGTTTTCCATAAGAACACTTACTAATTAATGTTTGGGAGTAATGTTTTGACAGTTCATGTGGTTTGCCATAAGAACACTTACCAATTAATGTTTGAGAGTAATGATTTGACATTTCATGAGTCTCCTCAGGAGTCCAATACGTTCCTAGGTCTCCATTAGTGAAAATAACTCACTTTGCAGGTCTAGCATGTAAAGCATTCCCCTCCTTGATTAGATTAATTTGTTGGACCATTCCAGTAAGAGCCAACTGCTGAGAAGCAGAATTGATTTTCGAAGCGTCATCACAGGATCATAGACGTAAATTAATCGATGGAATAGATGGACTTTTGAATAAAGAAGCATAATTTCTTGTTAAATCTGGTGGTTTTGGAGGAATCAGGCGTTGATTTTGATCACAAGACATGGATTTTTGAAAAACCTACTTAACCAAACATCCAATCTTTGCAAATTCCTTTTTCAATTTGTAAAATGTCACGAGGTTTTGGGGACTAGGAAATCATTAATGTCTTCATCAGAAATATATCCAACTTGAACCAGTTTTTTTTTACAAAAAATTAATTACTTTTATTACAATAGCAATGTTTACAAATGTCTTTATTTTCTGAGAGTAATGCTTATAACAAAATGCTGATTTGCTGGAGAGTGCTGTAAAAGAAGCCTTGTTACAGAAGATGTATTCTTGCTTATGAAGGTGTTTGTTCTAAGCTCATTAAGATGAATTATGGAATCAAATTTAAAGGATGAGATGCAAGTGATTATAGGTTGACCAGCAAGAATCGAAAGCAAAAGTAAATATTGCATGTACGTACCCAACTAATAACAAGAAATCTATAGCACTATTTGTGTAAGATGATTATTTGTCTTCAATGTGGCAACACAACCTGGGATAATCTCTGGAATTTCACTTGGAAATAGTAGCTACTTATCAACAATCCTTCTTTTACACATTTGCTCACCCAAGAAAATGAACCGGTGGTAATGATTTTCACGCAAATACTGACAATAGAGTTAAGCCTAATACCCAATATGTGACGGAAGTAGTTTCAACAAGTTATGATTCTATTCTCAGCTAGAATACAAGAAGAAAAAAATGCATACCATTTTGCCACCCTCCCGGACACCAAACAAAACTCCTGGCAGTACCACCATGGCAGCAATGGACACAGCCATGGCAATGAATCCATTCAACAATGGCACAATAAATATCCATCAACATAATGTACAAAATCACCAATCCTTACTTCCCATAGAGAAGGTCAAGGGTTCAAGCCAGGCAGCTAACTAGGATCCCAGCCCATTGGCTGGGAGGGAACCAAAAACTACCAAAAATGAAGCACCTCCAATTCATCTCTCAGTCCATTAAGTATAAGTTCAAGGAAAAGAGAGGAGAAAGAAAAAAGAAAGAAAAAAACACAAAATAAAACTAAACAAAATCTGAACTCAATCTATAGTTAGTTGAATGGCGAAGAAAAATTAAAAGCAAGGTAAATATTCCAGATGGAATTCAATGCAACAACTACACTCCACATGGTGGAATTCCTGCCATTACATACCCCTCCCCCCACACTCCCCAAAAAAAACACCCCACCCCACCCCAACCCCAAAGAAAAAAAAATTAATGCCATTAATACTCTACACCCATTGTAGACTTGCAAGCACATGATGGTACATAAATATGGCTCGTTGACAGTAATCGAACTACAGTTATATCTCTTAGAGGAGAAAAGGCTCGCGAATGAGTTACTATATGCACATGAAATTTAATAAGTAGCCAGAACGGATGAATCTTACCAACTTTTGTATACTAAGATCCCACAGAAGCAATGCCTTTTGCCTTGGCTGCAGCAGTGGCAGCTGCTGCTGCAGCAGCTGCAGCAGCGGCTGCAGAAGCTGCTGCATTGGGTGCTGAGGGAGGCACAGTGTTCGGCTGTGAAGGGCTCTGCTGTGGAACTATCTGATGTTGCTCTTGCTGGAGCTGCTGAGAGTTAATGTGAGCAAGGAGAGCCTTAATCTGACTTCCTGTAAGTGTCTCATGTTCAAGCAAAGCATTAGCGAGTGCATGGAGCTCTTTGCTATGGGTGGTGAGTATATTTTTCGCATTGTTGTAAGCCCTTTCCAAGAATACTTTCACCTCTTTCTCAATGAGAAGCCTAGTCTCAGTGCTCATGCTCTTTCCATTGTCATCATAGTTGTGGGTAACCAGGCCAACTTGTTCGCTCATACCATACTTTGTAACCATTGCTCTGGCAAGATTAGTTGCTTGTTGAAGATCAGAAGACGCACCTGATGTAACTTCATTTTCTCCAAAGATTAGTTCTTCCGCAACTCTTCCACCCATGCAAACATCCAGCCGCGCAAGCATCTGCTTCCGGGAGACACTTGTCTCATCCTTGTCAGGTAATTGCGCAACCATGCCAAGCGACATACCTCGCGGAACAATGGTTGCCTTGTGCACTGCAAGAGCCCCATCAGTATGAATAGCAACGAGTGCATGGCCGCCCTCATGGAATGCTGTCAGCCTTCTTGACTCATCAGATATGACTGCTGATTTGCGTTCACTTCCCATCATGATCTTGTCCTTTGCATACTCCAGATCAGCCATGCTTACAGCTTTTGCACCATCCATTGCAGCCTTGAGAGCTGCAATGTTTACTAAGTTTGCAAGATCCGCACCTGAAAAGCCAGGAGTTCCTCTTGCAATAATCATCAGATCAACATCATCTGCCTTCAGAACCTGTCAAATTGCATTTGGACCAGAAACAGAAAATTAGGCTACAAGTCACGTTTTCTTCTCTTAAAGCTTTGCACAATAAAGCAGTAGCCTCTGAACGGTGTTTTTGGTATAGATCCAAATAGGGTGTATGAAAACTACGCATAAAGGAGTTGATAATGACAATTCATATTACCATAGAGTGCAGAAACATATCAAAAATAATATACGAGAAGATTGCAATTGAAGCAAAGAATAGTAGAACAGGGCTATTAATGACCATAGAGAATGTCACAAGCAAGTACATGACTATCCTACAATTCTGATGAGCTAAGAAGCACGGACACGGACACGGGACACGGATACGATACAGCAAGGACACCCTGATTCGACATTTCTCAAAAAATTAGGACATGGACATATTGAGGACACGCTATAAAAAAATTAAATTTTATCTATAACATTGTATAATTTATTGCAAATATAGTGATAATGATATACAATTCATAAAAAAATCGGTATTTTATGATAAGAAAACCTAATGTCTAGTCATCTGTGTGAATTTTTAGACTAAAACATCCTCATTATAGTCAATAATCATCAATTTTTTTTTTGTAGACAATGTATACCTAATATATAATTTAAATAATTGTTCTCATTTTCTCAATTCCTTTTTTTAAAAATTTTTATGCATTTTTCGTTTTTATTATTATATTTGGAGTACAACTTTAATATGTCTAGTATTAGTAATTATATATTCTCAAATTTTTAAGTTTTGTTAATTACATTTCAACAAATGTCTATTGTTTAGTAGTAGATACGTTCTAAAGAAGTGTCGGATATGTCACCAAAGAAGTGTCCAACACATATCAAAAAAATCATAGGTGATAAGCCCAAGCTCAAGTTGCAAAACTACAGGCCAATTCAGATTACAAGTGCCATATAAAATCCCCGGCCCCTGTGCATACAGGACACCCCTTAACAAACCTCACTTTTTACTTTTTAATTCTGTTTGGATCAATACTAAAATAATACCCCTATCTATGTTAATATACACACTAATTATTGAAGAACATAGACCATGTAAATGCGCACACATAGCGGCAACAATCCCATTAACCATGTAAACATGCCTTCCATGAAGATGGGCCCTGATCGAAGTCCTTTCCAGGACCAAATTTTGCATTGAATGTTGGAAAGGGCAAAAAGCCACTGCCAGACTAGCTCATTCCTTCACACAATCTAAGGTTCCACAACAAAGAGCATACCTTTGACATGTGGGATTCCAAGATTTGCCTCCGCCCTTCAACATCTGGATTCGGAACAACAATGTGACGATCAAACCGACCAGGTCTCACCAGTGCCTTATCCAGTGATTCTGGGAAATTAGTAGCAGCAATCACAATGATACCCTCATTCTGTTTGAAACCATCCAGTTCAACAAGCAGCTGATTCAGAGTCATCTTCATGTACTGCTGGTCCTTTGGATTACGGCTTCCTCCAATGGCATCTATCTCATCAATGAATATTATACATGGTGAGCGCTTCTTTGCAGCAGAGAAGAGATCTCTCACCCTGCGGGCTCCAACACCAACAAACATCTCTTCAAACTCACTGCCGCTGCAGGAGAAAAAAGGCACCCCAGCTTCTCCTGCTATGGCCCTTGCCAGCATAGTCTTACCTGTGCCGGGAGGACCAACAAGTAAAACCCCTTTGGGAAGCTTTCCACCAAGACGCGTGAAGCGCTGTAACAAAAACAAGAGCTGATTACCAGAAAATTTCTAAGTATGTACACCAAGCAAGACCTTACTTATGCAAACCCAGGGAAAGTTTTCAAATTTAGAATTGGATGGCATTAAAGTTACTATGTTTTTCTTTAAAACAAAAGAAGCAAAAGAAAAGGAATAAAGCAAATCTCCAAAAGCTGTGCACCATCCAAAACAAGCAATCAATGACCAAGTAATGACACAGCAGGTTTGGGAAAAATGTTTGTGACTGAACATAAAAACTAAGAGTACGCCATGCTAGATTATATCAGTGTAGATGCGTGTCCAACAAGAGTTGCCTTTTATATACTTAATCTTATTGTTTGTGTAGTTTTTTTTTCTTTTCCTTTTTTTTTGGGGGAGGGGGTTTGTTATATCCTTACTCGAGGAGGAAATTATTCATGTTTTCATTTCAAAGCAAGTCCACACATGGATGGGTGTGTAAGTGGGGCTCTTTGGAATTAAATCCTATGTAGTCTATCAATGGTGCAAAGTGGCTTTGTACCTTTTCAGTAGGGGAGTGAAACATAACTTTTGTGTGTGTGTGTGTGTGTGAGAGAGAGAGAGAGAGAGAGAGAGAGAGCTGCATGCAATTACCTTGGGGTCTCGAAGATAGTGAACAATTTCTTCTAGCTCAGCTTTTGCCTCGTCAACACCTTTTACATCACTAAATTTTGTGCTAGACTCCATGCTGGGTTGCACTTCTTCATTCAAACCAAGTCCTGATAGGACAAACGGCTTTGAGAACAAAGAAATCTTTAATCCAGTCAAAAAGTATAAGAACTAAATCTAGATACAGAGACACCGCAACATCACAAGAAATGAGTACCTTTACTGATTCCTCTATCTTCAATTAGCGCACCAACACCTGAAATCAAGAGAAAAGCCATACCAAGAGAACGGAATGTACGCCATAATTGTTCTTTAAAATGCCCCCCTTCAGCAGCAACCATGTGTATGGGAGCACTAGAAGTTCCAAGGATTCCATCCTTTGTAGGTTTCCCCACATTTCTAAAAGCTAAAAGACCACCAACGCTTTCTTCCTCCACCTGTGAGCTAGCAGCACCTGTAATTCCTGTGTATAACTTAAATTAATTGTTAATGAGTAAAAACTTAAACAGAAGAATTAAAAGTACTGCATGAAAGCAAAGTAGGAAGCTTGGTAGCCTCAGGTTCTCCAAGGGGCTGAAAAGTAGGTTCCTGCATACAATTTTAAACAGTCAACAGAATGTTGTCGAATATTCAAACCTTTTTCATATCTTATTTTGTTAGAAAAAATATCCTTTTACCTCTGTGGTTGGATACCTCCACAATTCACCCTCCTCACCTTCAAAAATAACCACATAACACTCATATGGCTTGTGGAATTAAGTACGCAACTAACTCAACTAACAACAGGGGTAAAGTTACTTTGATCCATGGTCCAAAGTAACAACATCAGCCATCAATTTGGAGGGAATGAGACGCATCAGTTGTGGTGTCACAAAACGGTACCAGAGTAGATGCACAAAATGTTGGATAGTAGACATAGTGTGAGATTCAAGCTATATCGCGGCACTATAGAATAGTGTCAGGTGATACAATGCAAGTCGATGATGACTTGGATGGCTTGACCAAGCAAATCAAAACAACTCTAAGTCAACCACGAGTTAAGCGAGACTTGTGGTTTACACAAATGTTAAATGACATGAAGACAGAAACTTTCAAGCCAGACACAGCTCGGCCGAGGTGTTTTGGTCAACAGATTCTTTGAACCACTCTCCAATCACCACATGTGCTCCACCTGTATGAACCTCGCCAACACGTCCAAGATGCTCAAATGCACCGGCAACACTTTAACTCCAGGCCAATGATGGCAACAATACCGTGACCTTCAAGTTCAAAAGCCATAGTGTGCTACCCCAGCCCCTTTTCTGGTTTTCTTCCCATACATAAGTAAGTATATATGCACACAAGTATGCTTCACATTGCTGTTGTCAATTGATGTCATCAATTTCAAAAGCCCCAGTGACTGTTTAGGGGTTTTTTTGATTCTTTGTTGTCAGGTAATTCAAGACCGAGGAGGGGAGAAAAGAAGATAACAAAGACCAAGAAGCATTTTGTATTTTTTAAAAAATTACAAAGGTAATTTCATCTTTTTAAATTGCTATCCCACAGAAGTGTTGGAATATGGGCATGCCTCATGCACGATTAATTGGACAGAAATTATAACTGTCCACTTGGTCCACATGAGGGCTATGTGTTGATTTTTTAAGGTAAGGAGGGTTACCCGTTAAGAGGCCCAAAGGGAGCAAAGCAAAATTTTGGCCACTTTTATTTCCTGAGTTCTCTTCCATAGATGAGTTCTAACCATTTAACCCATTCTTCTTTTCGCATTGCCATAACATGAAATTGTCAGAGTCATTGATTAAATGAAGTGATTACACATTTTCAAAGCACAGTCATTGATTAAACAAACAACTAGCCATCCAACAATTAGATGGAGAAGCTTTGTCCAATAGAAACTAGATAGATTGCATGATTCTTCTACCATCTGAGAGAGACCAATCAGAAGGGTGCTAAAGAAAGAAGGAAGACCTAGAATAAAACCAGAAAGAACAAACTCAGCATTTCATCAATAAAGACTGTCATTAAATGCGGGACCAAGCAAACGCATTCCTGAGCCAAAAAAGGCCACAGGCTACTCGCCTATATTCATCCCATCTCTCCAATATTCTCAATTAACAGGAAACAAAAATGGGTAATAACCTTTTTAGGCAAATTCTAACTAAAACAATAATGTTATCAGGCTAACAGACTGAACATGACATAGAAAAGGGGGAAAGGATAAGATAGAAGAATGGTAAGACAAATATCTAAAGGGCAATGAGCACTTTCATTTCTACACACACCTCTCTGCAAGGTCTTGAGCAACTCACTGTCATCCAGCCTGTCAACTCTGACCAGTGCCTTAACATATTCTGCAAGCGCTGATGGGTTAGAATGTAATGATGGTTGACTTTCAAATAATCTTATAACTGCCTCTGGATCATTTCTATGATAAAGTTCCTTAAGATATGCAGCATCACTTGATCCATCACTATCACGTACTCTGCGAGATAGACTGCCAACATAACTTGACTGAAATCTTCCCTGAGCACTTGGAACCCTATTCACTGCACCAAAAACATTAAAGAACGTCGGTAAAATTTGCCTTTAATAAAAGACTAAGAAGATGATAATGGATTGTTTATCTTCACGTCTGTTATCAAAGTGTACCCAGCAAAAAAAATAGAACTTGCTACAAATCATCCAAAAAAAGGGAAAATTACAAAGATTTCACAAACAAAAAAACGAAGACAAGATTTTGCAACAGAAATATTCGATAATGCATCTCGCCATAACCAAATATGGGACTTTAATATGACTTCATACTTTTCATTTATCTAAAAGCAAGACTCAACTTCCAAAACGAGAGTCCTCGAAAACAGAGTCCACATAAATAAATATATATGTGATGAAACATAAAAAAGCCAGAATTGGTGAATGACTAGCACATTATACATGACAAAAGATAATTGCCAACAAGAAAGACATACCTTCACCTCCCCTAATCTTTTGTGATGTAAGATAAGTTCTAACAAACAAATTGTCCAGTTGCCTCAACCATGATTGCTGCCTTTGGACCTGTAGTGTTGAAGAGACAGCACAACAGGGGCAAGAAGCCAATGAATACATACCAGAATAGGACACCAAGCCCATACAGAAAAGGATGGGATAAAATCATGTAAAGAAACAAGAAATTCATGCACTCAACCTAATGCGCCTCAGCCTGAGCATGTGGAAACTATAAAGCTCCTCCTTTTCATATAAAATGATGGTAATTTACTATTCAAAATACTACCACTCTGAAAATAGTGCAAATACAATTAGGGGCCATTTGTTTTGAGTATTAGAGTGGTATAAGGAGGTGGTATTAGGAAAATAGTACGTGAGACCCATCTTATACGTTGTTTGTTTGGCATTTTATAGTCAATACTATTTTCCGGGTCGTAATACCGACCCGCTATGAACAGTAGTTATAATGCCTTGTAGAAGGTCTTAATGAATACCACCTAGGGGGTGGTATTATATTCTTGGTATAGGTATTATAAACTAAAAAAACCAAAATGCCCTCCGGTACAATTCCCATATAAAAGCCTAGCCGCAATTTTTGATTTTTTAAAGGTTAAAATTGTCTTTTACATTGATTAGCCGCAATTGTTGACTTTTTTAAGTAGGTATTACACAGATAATATTTGTGATAAACAAACAAGGAGAATGATGAGATTATAGTTTAACACCGGGTATAATATACTATTGAATTGGAGTGGAATGAATATAAAACCTTATACCACCTAAATTTTATATTCGAAACAAACATATAGTTACAGAAGCTGACTAGTACCAAAAATATCAGTTTTCTTCAGCAAAAAAATAAGTTTCAGTATATATATTATCAGACAAAATAGTACCACTAAGAAATGGAGAAAAAACAAGAAGAGAGGAACAGAAGCTGAAAGTATAAAAAAAGAAAATATTCTTCAGAAAAATTAGGCGTCCGAGTGGACCCCTATCTCTATTTTCAATCAAAATCACGTAAAAATGCAATCTTTATCACAAATCCTCAGCTTCAATATCGACCCAGTCCACAAATATCACACAAAGAGTTAACTTTTTTCCTCAAACCTCTCTCAGCTATGAATCCAGGACTACAAATAATTAGACCACGGTAAGAATCCCAAATCATCTTTTATGGACCATAGAGAGACCTGATAATAGCAACCCTAGAAACTACTGAGGTTGGGGTCTTCATAACAGAAACCAATCGCGAAAAAACTTGAACCGCACAAGAAACATCAAAGAAGAATAATAAAGATCTAGCAGAAACAATATTAACAAGAGACTGACTACATATGAATCTGTACAGAATATCTGTAACAAAGATTTGACTGACCTGCGCGAGGAGGCGTCTCAAAGCCATCTCCTCCCAAGAGAGACTCTCTTTCTCTCTATATGTTTATGTATATGTATAGTTGTATTTGTATATGTATATGTAGTTTCCGCCTTTGTGTCGCGGTGGGCGTGATGGAAAATGGCGAGGGAGAAAAGATAGGAAAGAGTAACTCCGAACGGAGCATGAATAGATTTTCCAGGGATAATATTTTATGCTATCAGCGAAGAATAGACTATAAAGGTAAATATCACATATCACCCTCAAACTATGTATACAATTTTAGAAAGCACGCTAATTGCACGCATTACCTAAGTACATGTTATAAAATAAATAATTGTTTTTTTTAGGAGAATGACTTTGAGATCTTACGAAGTTTGTCCACGTCTCTTAGACCTTATCATTGTCTTTCGGTTAATAAATTATATTTAGATTGTCAAATTTAAAATATTATATTTAAATAAAAATATTTTAATTAAAGGTAAAATATTAATATTTTATTTTAAATTTTATAATTAAAATTTATGTTCTAATATGACACTTATTAAAATAAAATCAAAAATAAAAATCTAATTTTTTCTTAAAAAAATCATAATTAGTATGCAATTATATTGTTCTATTGAAATTTAATTTGACTGTTTAAAAGATCAAATTAAACTACCAAATTACCTCAATTAAAGGTAGAAAATATTGTGTTCATTACAGTTTGACCCCATATTTAATTTTTTAATTTTATTTTAATAGGTAATATAATTTTATATTAATTATGATTTTTTAAAAAAATTAGATTTTTATTTTTAATTTTATTTTAGTAATTGATATAATAAAACATGAATTTTGGCTATAAAATTTAAAATATTTGATATTCTATCTTTAATTGAAATATTTTTGTTTAAATATAATATTTTAAACTTGAAATGTCTAAATATTATACGCATACAAACTTTAGGAATTTAGATGTAATTTATTAACAGGTCTAAACGTTACGCGTATACAAACTTTAGAAGTCTATGTATAATACTTTAAATATCAAGGGTCTAAGTTACTAAATGACAAATCCTAGGAGGTCTAAGTATAATTCTCTTTTTTTTTTTCTAAATTAAATTACTAATTTTATCCTTCATCTTCGTCTCTCTCACCTAACCCACCCCCCGGTGTAACTCCCTCGTCCTCCTCCTTCTTCCTTCTTCCTCCTCCACAATACATGAAACTCCTCACTCCAACACCATTTAACTCTCACTACATCATAGTTTTGAATCCCATAACCCTCCTCCTTTGAATCAGCTCAAACTCTTATAATTTATGGTCAAAGTAGACACAAAATATTTTAAAATAGTTAACCAGACCTAAAAATTCATTTTGACCCATCAAACGACTTGTTTTCCCAAATATAAAGTCGTTTTTTAATTCCTTGACCTAAAATTAACTAGATTACCCCCCTTTTGAAGCTTTAACAAGTTTTCTAGAGTTTTGATTTTCAAGATTTTAAATCTTAGTGGGTTTCTTCACCACACACACACCTCACCCCATGGATTTCAAGCACTCCAATACATTGTACTACAACACCATAACACAACTCAAGTCTCAATTAATGAAGAAATGATTGTTTGCTATGCAACCAATTTGAAAATCCATAACCACTTTAAACTTCAAACACAAATTCAAGCATACACAAAATATGAATGTGGTTTGTAGTTGTGGTGTAGTGGTAACGGAGTTGGAGGTGAGTAGTTGAAATGGGGTGCAACTAGGGTGGTAGAAGTGTACTAATTGTAGGTTTTATTTTTTAAAAACAAGGGTTCAACAATGATGCCATCACAAAGAAAATTAGATTACAATTAGGGAGTAGTTTAGTCTTTTTGTATAAATTGTTACCTATGTTAACATTTACAGTTTGTTCACAAGTTAGAAGGAGTTAAGTACAACCAGTAAAAGTAAAGGGAAGCGAAGTGGGATCGAGACTTAGTACAATGAGTTTTATTGTTTTTTACTCTTAATTATTTTAATTTAGTCCTTCTTCAACTATGTAAAGTATAGCCATAGTCATTTATATTCAATTTTCTATTGTAACAATCTTACGATTTGTCCATTAAAATTGTTACTTCTATGTATAACATTTAATTATTTCAATATAGCATAGATCATTTGTTTGAGTTTGTGTTTGGCGTATTTTCATATTGCGGGTGTGCCACAATTCAAGTGGACTTAAAATTCAAACACGTACGACATTACCTACTTAAATCGACATGGAGTTTTAAAATCGTGACTATTTAGATGATTGTAGTGAGGCGTAAAGTTATCTCTAGATTACATACTATGTCTTAGAGTTTCAAGAACTTTAAATAATTTTACCCAGATTGAGACATGTGAACACTACTGTAAAGTATATAATAGAAATGCAAAGAAACAGGTAAACTAAATTCGAATCTGGAAGATGAATTTAGTATTTTATTTAACATTAATTGAAAGTAATAAAAGATCAACAAAGTGATGTACTAAGGAAAAATAAAGATTGCTCAGAAGCAAGCAATAGGTAAAATGATAGGCTGGCTTTTGTGAAGAATTTTTGTGGTTGATCGTGTGATCTCTTCTTGGTAGTCTAGCCTCTGTTATTTATATTAGGGGTGTCAAACATGTCGGGTTAAACGGGTGACGGGTAAAAAATATATAAACCTGTACACGGCACGTTTAATAAACAGGTAAAAAATCTCAACATGTAACACGACAAGACTCGTTTAATTTTAAAAAAATTATATTAACAAATTTTAATACTCCATTTTTTTATTGTCAATTGCACTTACCTCAAAAAAGAAGATTTTTTAGCCAAATCTCATAAAAATAAGACTTGAAGGCCTAAAAAAAAAAAATAAGAGGTCATTACTTTTTATAGACAACTCAACCCTCCCTATCTCCCCTCATTTTTCAATGTGGGACAAATAAGACTTGAACACTTAAAAAAAAAGTAAGAGACCATTGCTTTTTATAGGCAACTCAACCCTCCTCATCTCCCCTCATTTTTCAATATGGGATAAATAAGACTTGAAGGCTTAAAAAAAAAATGGGAGGTCATTACTTTTTTTAGGCAACTCAACCCTCCCCATCTCCTCTCATTTTTCAATGTGGGACAAATAAGACTCGCCTTTGTCTTTGAAGTGTTCCCCATCTCCTCTCTTTTGTCTTTAAACTATTACTTTACTTCTTTTTTTTATTGATTTCTTTACTTTTTTTTTTCTTACTAATTTTTTTGAATAATTATTAATTTATTATTATATTAATTTTATTTAAACGGGTAAACGTGTGATAAACGGTTTGACATATCTCACCTAAACACGACCCATTTATTAAACATATTTGGTGTGTCAACCCTTTTATCACCCAAACCCGTTAAAATCTCACTCAAATCTGCTTAATTTGTGTTGATTCGTGTCGGTTAATCGTGTCGTGTCAAATTTTGACAGCCCTAATTTATATAGATGGCTCTCAACCGTTGATCCATCTTTTTCAGCCACTAAATGTGATCATGGCTTTGTCCTTGAGATACGTGAATGTGTGTCAAATCATTTTTAACTGACAGTTTATGATATCACATTTCCTCATTTCTTGAGATTCCAAAAGTCATATTCCTTTAATTATCCTATTAATTGGGGACTCTCACAAATTCCATAAGACCCTGTATTAAAAATTAAAGAAGAATAATATCATCTCAAGAGTTCTCCTAAGATGAATAAAATGATGGTAGAAATTTAGAATAATTGTTGAAAGATTGATTATATTTTTTTTAAGGGGAAGGAGAAGGGGGAGGAGGACTTGAACCATTGACTTCAAGAAGGCAAAGCCTTTATAAGACAATGAGTATCATTGGACCAAAAACCCATTGACAATTGAAAGATTGATTATAAAATTTGAGTTTTGTGCGTATTTACGTTCGGGGTAAATTGAGTTTTGAAGATGTTTAAATTTGAGAAGGGTGGCTAAATAATTTTATAAATATTTTTATGTCAAAATAAGGTTTTGATTGAATCTGAAAGGTCAAAAAACAGTAAAAGAGGTTATATGAGTTATATTAGAAGTTTAGAAGTATTCTAATGTTAAAACCTATTTTGGAAAGAATTTGAGTAGAAAGGAATTTGATATAACCTTAGTATTTTGGCTATAAATTTTTACCTTAATGACCGATTGGCCTAAAATTTTTACAGTAAAATCTAGACTTCAAGGAATATCAAAATGTATTTGATGAAAATTTTGTGAATCAACCTCTAACAAGGCCAAAACTTTCATGGACGTTGAGGTAAAAACTAGAGTCTGTTTGAATGCAAATGGATCTGTTCGAATGCCCTATAGATAGTTCGAACGTCAATCTTCTAGTTCAAACGTATTGTTGCGATCTTGAATATTAGGTCTGCACTAATTATACTGTTTTCTCATCCTATAAATACATGAGGATGCCTCCCCTAGTCCTATTTCATCAGTTCTTAACCCTAGAGAACCTTAGAGAGCAAGAAAGAAGAAGAGAAATACAAGATTGAAGAGAGATTCTCACGTTCTAATAGATCAAACACGCTAGGTTTGGACACAAACTATGGAATCAAGGTAGAAGATTTTTCTTGAGTTCTTTCATTGAGACTTAGGGTATTATATATATATGTTTTTAATCTTTTTGATATTTATATGATAAATACTTATGAGTTTTTGGTTTTTTTATCATTGAAACGTAGTTTTGAACAAAATACATGTTTGGGTTAAGAAATATTTGTTCTTCATTTCCAAAACCCTAGTTTTGTTAAATACATATGCCATTGTAAAAAATATATGAATTATTCATTTCTAAATTCCTAGTCTTGATTAAATCATGTTTTCATCTAATACCTGTTTTGTACCTAATAAATTATGATTTTTGGAAATACCTAGAATTTTGATATCATTTATTGTTGTAGTATATTGAGAAATGTTAAATTGTGATACTTGAGTTTTTATGGAAATTGTGATTGATTAAGATTGCGGTTGTTAAGAAAATTGTGGTTTCATCTATGGTATTGTCTGGGTGTGACGGACTTGAATTGCCTTCGAGAGCTGTCGTAGAGTGTTAGAGGTTAGTCTATCTGAATGGGGATGAGATGGTTGCCTAACAGTTATAGTAGATTGTTGTTTATGCGAGCAACCATTATTATTCACATAAGTTTAAGGCTAAGGGCTGGTATAACTTTCTTGAGAAGGATTCATCAATGTCGTGGGAGACGGT